AAAACACCCTTTATAAAACCACTTGGAGGTCGGATTTCACTCTACTTAGCAGATCTCTTCCCCATGAAAGGAACATACCTGCTAAATTTCAAATCTATAGAAATAGTCCGAAAATGGAATATTTATCTGTATACCCCCTGGTTGTTCTTACTTACACCACCTGATCGACAGTAACATCAGATCAAAACCCGCGAAATTTATCAAGGTGAAGAGCTACATATAGCTTAAAGCACCATGCAGGTGACAGTGAGATTTGATTCGATTCCTCCTCAAATTTTAGGGAGAATAACCAAGGGGTGGTAAGGGGCCTCCCACCTCTCTTCCTTTTCGAATAACCTCCTCAGAAAACTTGCGGCTAAACGGCTATTTATATTACTTCCCCTTCCCATGCCTTAAAAGGCACTATACATTTACAAACGTCCATGCCTTCTCCGGGATTCAAACTCAGGCTCAATGGCACCGCAGTCAGTGTCACAAACCACTATATCGGATTTGCGCACTTAACTCTCAGAAACACCACTTGGTGGTCTATTTTTGAAAAACTTTTTTTGCAGAGTAACTCTACTCCATTAAAGGAACGTGCTTGCCAAATTTCAAGTCAGTAAGTCTAATATCTCAAAAGAGGAACATTATCTGTAACGGCCTTTAACCCTTCGCCACCCTCCTTAGGTTTCGATTTCGCAAAACCATTTCCTAGCTGATTACTGCACCATGGATGAAACATGTCTATACCGAATTTCAAGTCTATAGGTCTTATAGTTCCGGAGATATCGTGATAAGTGAGTGAGGGAACAAATGAGTGAGTACGACACTGTTGTCCTTTATATAAATATATTTAATTTTCGTGAAAAAATGAGAACTTCCATCGCTTTTATTAATTGAATCCAGACAGTCGGCAAGCCATTATCCAGATAAAAATGATGCCAAAGTGGATTTATATAGCCTTGTCTTTCAGATCAATCAGGATTATCATTTATTTCTGTATATTCACGTTAGGATGCATTGACTATCCAAGATGCATTACTTTTATTGCGGATAGAATGCTATTCCTTACGTGATATTTCTGCATGAAAATAATACAAACGGATAACCAAATTATATATGTATGCGCCATACTCAAACATATGATGAATTTCAAAACAAATGTAATGATTAGAATTTTTCAAATTCAATAATAGTGATAATAACTTGTTTTTTTAAATGAAAAACGAGACGCATAGTGACGTATTTTTTAAGGTATCTGACTACGTTTGCAACCGTGTTTCGTCAAAAACGCATAAATGCATGATTTTATTTTGATATTTCGTGTCAGTTGAATGAGAATACACGTATAAAACAGTTTTAAGAATATTGTTAAATGACATATTATTTAAGTGCAGTTTTTGGAAAAATTAGAAGAAAGAGACATATATTTAAGCAGTGCTCAAACTTTCAATACTGGCGCCCCATCTTTTCGATCACAATTTTTATCGCGCCCCCTTATGCATTAATAATGTACTGAATGCAATAATAATGCACTTTGACGCTAAAGCTACAATAGGCGATCTTAGTTATAATCCATACAAATTAGTAACATAAGCATTAAAATTTTGTATACTACTTTTAAGCAAAAAAATAAATAAATAAAATAATAGGATAATTATTATGTTATTTTTCCTTTCTCTAATTTTTAAATTGAACATATTGCAAAATGCGGTGGCTGCTTAGAAGACAAAATATAGATATCTGCTAAATATAGAAAAAGAACTCAGAGGGTGAATTTCTAATCATAAGCATTCCTTATAAAAACTTTGCTTTGCAAGACAAGCCCATGGAAGACGTTAATACTTATTAAACTTGTTCTTAATTTAGTATTAGTAGTTATAAAATATTCTGTGCAGCACTGATACATTAAAACTATACCGGCTGAAGTGCCCGCTCTTTGCACGAGTTCATTTATAAGAAAATAAAACATTATTGATATAATAGCTGAATTGTAAGGAGTGCAAAGCCAAATCCTCGACAATGTTTACAAAAATGTAAAATGATTTTTTTTAAAATGGTTGCTCAAATTATAATTAGTTTTAAGTGAATGGTAATTTTAAGCCTCACAGAATTAGCATTTATATTTTATGTTAAATAATGAACAATAATATAAAATTCCGACGAAGAATAACTGTATGATTTTTAATATTTAAAGCGAAAAGACTTCAACATGTTAAAACCCGGGAGCAGGCACGCACTCGATACGGTCAAGCGGGGTTATTGAGTCACCCTAATTCTTTTTTAATAATTATTTTATTGTACACGATACAAATCGTGATTCCAGAGAATAATTTAATTATGAGAAAGTTTACTTACCTACTTTCAAGGACTTTTCAATTTTTCTTTGGTAACAAATAAACAGTTTTGCCAGAATTAACGATTTAGTAATCTGTGCGTCCCTTCATATGTATAGAAAAATCGTAAAAATAAGTCTTGGCCAAGTAATCTTTCAAAGTGATCTGCGTGGTTTTACAAATATCATAAAACTCTTTTGCATGCAAAAAAGCCTAACAGAGAAATACGTTACTTACAACTTCCCTAAATGAGAAACAAACACATAAAAGAGGGGTCATAACTAACTGTACCAATAACTTAGAAGGTTAAATAAATTACAGCTATAATGTGCAGTATTTCAAAAATAATGACAGTAATGAATTTTTTATGTTCCTAAATTTTTTTGATTCTGCGTCTGGGATCTGTTTTTTCTCTGAAAATGTTGTATGTTAGGTTTAAACAGAAAGCGTAATAAAAAAAATCTCTCATCGTGGGATTACAGCAAATCAAATAAAAGTTTTTTGTTTGGTTATAGGATCAAAGATAGCTAATTAGGTATTGAAGTTTTTATTTTAGATTACTTAATATCGCGCGCGCCTATAAATTATATCAGAGTGAAAGTGCATTTTTTATTATGTCTGAAAGTATTTTGTTTTAATTCATTTCAGTAAATTAATTATTTTTAAATCTTTTATTTTCTATATGCTCGCGTTCTCCCAGGGGGTCGAGCCCCACAGTTTGAGAAACACTGATTTAAAGTGTTCTCCTTTCATGGAAAATATCTTTAGTAAGAATATTTTACATATAGATAGCTTCAGAGCCTAAACTGTGGTTTTTGAAATACAAAATTTAAAATTTTATTTATTTATTTTAATAGATTTTTTTATATCGTTGTCCCTCTGGGTAAGAAACTGGGCGTCAAAATTTTAATATGGCATTTGGTATCCAACCTACAAGGTGCTACAATAAAAGTTATACCAGCTATATACTAGTTGCAGTTATACTAGGTCTGCAATGATAACTTCTGATTCGCAGCCCCATTTGAAAGAAAAACATTATTAGAAACATTATTTAAAGAAACATTATTAAATATTTTTATTAGAAACACCGACTGTTACTTTAATTGATGGTAACTGAAAATTAAATGAATTTTTCAAAAACTTTAATGTAAATTTTGCTAGCCTTTATAACTCTGCTGTATATAAGTAAGATATTATTATTATTTAAGCTTATTCCTTAAATAGAAAATGTTTTTAAATACTATCATTTATTCAGTGGCGTAACGTAAACCCCCGAATCCCACACTTCTCGGAGGTGGCTCAGGATTCTAGGGGGCCCAACGCCAGACTGATGTCAAGTACGTACTCTTTATAAGACCCGGCTTGGTCTCCCAAACTCACTTTGCAGGGGGACCCTAATTATCTCCGTTACGCCACTGCCTTTATTCATTCTTTTTATGCCATAAAAATGATTTTAAAAATTTCTTTTGTTAATAATATTCTTAAAACAGTTTAAAATATATATTTTAATTCAAATGAAAGAGAGACTCTACACATGAAAAAAAAATATTATTTTATGCCCTTTTTTAAAATCATGGTTCCTAACGTACTCAGTCACTTAAATCTGAATTGATCATCATGCATTTCTTTCAATATAATGACTTAGTAGATATTCTAACTATATAATCTTGTGGATTGAGTCAAAGCCCTTTTTAGATCAATCTCAGCCTTTTATTTAACCTTGAAACACCATAGTGACCTATAGAACCCAGTACCCTACAGATAAAATTATTTTCCATTCATAGAAATTGTTTCCAGTTTATCACATTTGGCCACGATGCAATATCTCACGGATAACAATGGATATGGACCACTCGTCTGATTTGAATAGAACCCATGCTATTACTACTAGTAAGGGAAATTGATTTTCACTTTGTCTCAGTTACCAGATCGGCCAATCGCCTTGCTTGTTGCCGAGTTGTCCGGTAATTTGTCATAATGAGTAATCTAGCGCATGAAGGACGTTTCTGATTGTCGAGCTATTTCACTAATATGCATTTAGAGGTCAACTGGAAATACGCGCGCCGCCCTAATTATGGTTATGATGATTATTGCATCTATCGCTGATCGCAAAGTTTACGGTTTTGGCCTACATGTTATCTATATAACATTTAATTGTTTTGCATGGATCGATTTTATATTACTCTATATTGACTATATTTTTTCCCGAAAAAACGCATGCAATTTAATGAGCTTGTTCATTAGGTTAGACAGAATTATTTTTTCAGAATTTCAAAATCTAGCTCAGTGCAAAAAAATGTTCTCTGATATGCAAACAAAGAGAAAAATAAAATGTAAAATTAATTTATGTTAAGTACTGCCACAAGGGGAATATAGTTTAGGCATTTGGGCTTTTTAAGGTTAAGAAGTAATATAATTTTTTTAAGTCTATTCTTACTTAGGTCAACAAAGCAAAGTTTAATTTTAATTACTTTTTATTAAATAATTACAATTAATATTAATATGCATGTACGTGTGACAGAATCATAATATTAAGTGACAAAATAGAACGCAATTTTCAATTTTCGGTTCTATATAGGGTGTTGAACTATTATTTTTGTTTGTTACAATTTATTCATTATTAAATTTAATTATTCCAATAAAATAGTGTAGTAAAAAGTAATCATATTCTCAGCAATTAGGCTATCATTGGGGGATTCAAACCCACGACCTTTGAATTGGAAGTCCAACGTGTATCATTCTCACTAGTCAATACTCACCATTTATTATCGCTCTTTTGGTTGTTTATATTGAAAAATAAACTATTTTGTGATTCTGAAATCCTCTAATCAATATTAAGTAATTTCCCATTTTATCGGAAATTCAACCTTTTGGGGGCAAATATTAAGTTTGAAATTATTTCTTTTATTTTTCTTTTAACCTTCATACCATAGGTATTTAAAGTAGAATAATTATTTAAAAAAACTTGTAACTGTGTGTGTGTGATGAACATTTACTATTATTAAAAACTTTCGTTATTTATTATTTTTAATAGCTACTTTACGCATTTTAAGCACTAACGTGTAAAATAAAAAAATCATTTTTAAAGTAATCGAGAGAAACTATTTTAATTAAAAAATTATTCAATACTGGATAATCCTAAATTAAACCCTTTTCGTTGCATCTCATGTGGAAATGGTCTAGTTTGGTGCAAATATCTGTTAAGGTTCAATTTTCTATTGAAAGAATACAAATTAAGCTGAGACATTGATTCAATTTGAAATTCATTCACTCTGGTTTTAACTTGGAATTATAGCTCTTGAATTAAAATTTGGTTGCTATTTGCTTTTGCTTTTTGTGCGCCTTTGTGTGTGTTAAGCTGTTTAGCATTCTGTTACATCCAGTCTAAGCTTACTTTTGTAACACTTCTCATGTAAAATATGTTGTTAATGTAAATGTGAAAAAAGTACGCTATTGTATTCCGTATTCATCACGAGATGTAATATATATTCCTTTCTTTCTTATATATATGTATAGAAACAGAACTACACTAGAAGAATTTATAAGTAATTATTCAAATGTGTGTTTAATTCAATTTTTTAGCTTTCAAATAAGTCAAAATTATATTTTTGTATATTTGATTGAAAAATTGGAAATTGTTTGTTTAATACAAGGTGCTGTTTAACAGTAATTAATACGATTACTGTTTATGGAAAAAGTTGTATGGAATTATTTTGTATGTTTGTATTGCTTAAAAGAATGCAAAAAACATTCGCTAACGCTTTACATTAGCGGTTCTCAACCTGCAGCCCGGTCATGGCTGGTTGCACTAACAAATTCAATTATTTAAGAACAATGGAATAAGAATTTAGCGAAAAATTCTATCAATCAAGCAATTAAATACATCAGTTTTGCTGTCGATTTCGTGCTGGTACGTGTTACGGGATAACTTTTTTTTTCTTTTTATTATTATAACGGTTAGTGATTACAAATAACAGTGGAGCCTCGAACATTTTATGGGTGAAACATTTTTAATTAAACCTCATTTCTTCCAAGCGAATGGTATATTTCGTAGGGAAATATAAACACGGATAAAAAACTTGTTTAATTTGTCGTGACACTATAATTTTGCTCTTCACTATACCACTAAGCACACATATTTCAATGGCTTTTTATCCTTGATGATCATATTCAAGACGAGATAAATTGGCTTTCTTAAAAAAATAAATCTTTGCCACAGCTATAAAATATTTTGTCGGTGGTAATGTCACAAAATGCAAAGGTAACAAAAGCATCCTATAAAGTTTGTTGTAATATATATTCTGATAAACATATGAAATTGTTAAGAATAAACATCTGAATTGGTACAGAAATTGTTAAAGCGTTTCCGAAATGTTTCCGATGTACTTTTTGAGAAATTCAGATATTGTTTTAGTAAAATCAAAAAGTATTTGAAGGAATTTGAAACAATCAAGTCTGAACTAATTTTAAATAGGTAATACTGACTTCAGCCCGGAATTCAGTAAAAACTCTTTGTTACCATTATGCACTTGATAAATTTATAACTGAAATAAAAATAAGTGAGGCTTTGTCAAAAAAAGAAATCAAATTATCAAAATATATAGCAGCTTTGGCTTTATGACTTTAAATGGCAAACAATGGTATTAGGAACATTGATGAAAGGAAATCGAAATTCCCTCATAACTGGGGAAAAATGCGTAAAACCTATTTTTTTGTGAGTTGAGTTTCATAGTTTAATTTAGTTTTAAAATAAAGTCCAAAATTATGAGTTTTAATATTTTGATCAATTTTCCGTATTCTAAATGTCCTTGATCTTATAACCCATCTCCCCCCCATAAATCCTCACTTAGCGGCCCGTGTAAAATAATTGCCATAACTGAGTGCCCCGGTGGAAAAACAGTTTGAGTACCTCTGCTTTAGATGATTAAGTAAGGAATATATTTCGGACGGAGATTGTAAAGAATTGATACTAAATAGCTAATGTTTGAAACTATGCATCTAAAAAAGACAACAGGAGAAGAAAAGCCTTTAAAAAATAGCATACAAGTAATAATTTTCACAATTTTCATCGCATTTGGACACAATGAGATTAATGTTAATGAGTTAATAATATGGTTGTAGAAAAAATTGAAAAAGTAATTTTTTCCTTTTCAAACGAAATATTTGCAGATTTAAGTAAAGTAAAGTACAGACAATTTCCCAATTTCATTCAAATCTACTCATGAATTATAACCCCCTTTCCCCCTTTTAAGAAATAATTAAATTTCTGCTTATCGTATTACAACACACAAATGATTCGTAATATATTCCTGTTTTCTTTAACCACATGTTGACTGAATCAATAGTTCCAGTAAATGTTCATAAACTAGTACATAGAGCTTAAAAGTCCGCAATTGGATATTGTAACATTTGTCTTGAATATTTCTTCAACCATTGGAGGGAATTATTTGAAGTTCTGGATTAAAAGGCTTTCACTTCTCAATACAAAGATCAAATATGTACACATATATATATATATATATACACTCAGGAACATTGAAAATAGCGACCCAAGAAGAAAGCATCGGATTGATATGAAATTTAATACACATAATGACACAGATGAGAGATTCACTTGATCTCAAAAACAAGACAATTAAACGAATACAGGGTGTGCAACGACACAAATACTGGGCAACTTCAATAGCACGTTGGACCACCTCCAGCTGCAATACATGCCGCCACACGGTCCTGCATTGATTTGATTAGACACCTTATGTTGTCCTGAGGAAGATGGGCCCACAAATCTTGAACAGCCAACTCTAAATATGTACAGAGTTACACGATGACATCTGCCATTTTAGCTGATCCCACAAGTGCTCTACAGGGGACAAATCGGGGAGGCGGGCCGGCCACGGAAGTCTGAAAATGACGTAGGAAGTCTTGAGCAACTCTTGCTGTATGCGGACGAGCATTATCTTGCTGGAAAATTGCCCCTGGGAGACCATTTAGGAAAGGTCCTACATGGGGTCGAAGAATATCATCAGCGTAACATTGGCCCATTAATGTTGCACGCATCACAATTAAAGTGGATCGGCTATCAAAGGCTATGCCCCCCCCAGACCATTACACCAGCTGTGCGGGCAGTGTGACGTAGAACAGTGTGGGGGGAATTGTACCGTTCACCAGGGCGCCTCCACACCCGTACACGGTTATCATCTGTCCCCAAAACAAACCGGGATTTATCACTAAACACAACCTTTTGCCAATTTGTGACATTCCACATTGATCTGGCTTGGCACCCCTGTAGACGCAATTGCCGATGTTCCGGTGTTAAACGGAGGACACGGAAAGGGCGCTTGGATTTAAGATTTGCTTCTGCAAGGTGTCTGGAAATTGTTTGTGGAACAATTTCTACGACTACGTCTGCTCGTATCGTTGAACGAGTCACTGTGGGGTCCACAAGTGCTTGCCTCACATTCCTTCGATCCTCTCTCCTCGTGATCTTCCTTTACGCTCCAGACCCGGTTTTCCGCGCGTGGGTACCTTCTCGTGTCCACTGCTCCCAACAATTTCTAACGGCACACTCCGAACGATCCACCTGGCCAGTAACACGGCGCGTCGACTAGCCTACAGTTTTCATCCCGATGATCCGGCCTCTCTCAAACTCGCTTAACTGTGAGAAATGTCTTCTAGCACGTTTACTTGGCATGTTTCGCTTACGAAAGTCTTCCTACAATCGGCGGGTAATCGTCACGTTTATGAATCTTCGAATTTGCGCTGGCTTATATAGCACCCTCTTCCTGATTGTAGCGCCACCTCGGCGTGTATGATCATGCGTATTGGCACGAAACTTGGATCATTTGCATATCACATTACGCTTTACTTATTTGCAAAGTTTCACGATTGTACTTAGCTTCCTTCTTTTGTCGCTATTTTCAATATTCCTGAGTGTATATATATACATACATATGTATATATATATATATACATATATATTAAATTGTTTATGTTACCACGGTAGTGCAAAAGGGGTTTTCAAAGCATTTGTTTCATCGATATACCTATATATCGAAACCGGCATATAAGAAATCCACGTCAAGATTGTAACTCTAGGTCAAGACAGCTTGCTGAACTTAGGGATCAATTCTATAGTACAGATTTTCCATGCATCTGTAGGGTCCAAAGAAATTATAAGTACATAGAGCGATATCCAAAAAGTATGGAAGGTGTTCCAATTAATTTTATACAACGCAATCTTACTCGCATGTTTCTGAGGCTGTATACAATCAGACATTGCCATGCGATAAAAATACAACTGCTAAGAGCAGCTTCGGATATTATTGGCAAATTCCTTTGCTGAATGGATTCAAAGCGGCACTGTGCCTAGCATTGATGTACGTAGTCCTGAGTGAGCCCTGTATTAAAATTCCTTGAGGGCCCTTTTTTTCGAAAAAAATGATCGCATTAATAATACTTACTTGAAAGCTCAAAATATCCTACATGGTGCAGCCCCGCATTATTGATACAGTTGCTGCTACGCCCCTGATACCTAATATCCTTTACAGTCATTCCACGGAGGAGAAACCAATCAGCGACACACTGTGAAGGTACCAAGAGACTGTAACGATAACTTTCCTCATGGAAGCTGTTTTGATCTTCTTATGAGCGGTAAGCGAGGCATGTTTCTCTGACATTAAAGTTTGCTTCGTCTCGAGTATTGAGAGAAACGTCCATATTCTGTTTCCTTGTTTCATCATTACAAGAATGGATGT